TTTTATGAATCACTTAATTAAATTAAATTCGCTACACAACACTTTGTATTGTGGATGTTTACATATTAAAATGCTTAAGTTTTTAATATTTGTGTTCCGTTAAACCCTCAAGAAGCGAACCTTCTGTTTATTATACGGGTTGTGTAAATTTGTTGGGCTGAAGAACTAAAAAATGTTGATTTAAACGTTCTCCCGAGTTGGTGTTGCGTTACTGAAAGACTGGGATGGGGTGATAAGTTGCCTGGCTGTTTTAAATGAGCCAGAATTCATAATTTTAAATAGCTAGTCATGTCAGTGTCACGCATAAAATTACACATATATATACAATTTATCAATACAGAAATTTGCATGCCCTGGAAAATTACTTTATTTAATTCATAGATAGGTAAAATGAACTCACTCAAAAAATATAAAAATTAGCAGTAAAAATTGGTTACTGTAAGTAAACGTCCAGTATAATCGCTTGTTTTTGAGTTCCTAAGAGAAACCTAATATAGGGCAGCGATGCAAAAACATTTCCTACTTCCCACGCCCTTTGAGAATCCCTCGCAAACTAGAGAGTATCCTGTTCTCGGTTGCCATCAGGCCATCACTTGTCACGAGAAATTCAGATCTCCGTCATATTATAAGCCCGAGCTGAACGTCGTCTTACTGGTGCCCTGTCAAAAATGTACAGGCATCTTTAGTTCGACCCCAATTTGAAAAGATAAAAACATTTATAAGGATATCTTTACGTAAAGATCCCTACATCCTTATGAAATCAGTTTCTAACTTGAGCAGAGCAATCTTTATAAAAATGTGGGTAACTTAATGAAGGGTGTGCAGCGTTAAGGATGCAGAATTTCCACTTGCTTTGCTAGTTAAAGCAGCATATTAAAACCCTACTTTATAACATGTCTCGTCATGTGCTCATACATTAATGAACAAAGATTTTTTATGTTAGCAACTATCTTAAAAAAATGCCTGCACTTTTATGCTGATGCATTGGCATTGCTATCAAGATTTCTATCTTTTCTAACAGTGGCAGAGCTTACAGAAATATGTCGGCTGTTGTATTGTAGGACACTGTTATGTAGCGGTTCTGCTGGATCACCAGTTACTCACCACTCTACTAACCAGTGAAGAGTCATGGATAATTAAAATAAAACCCCACAAACATTAAACTTCAAAGCAAACAAAACGTCTTTTATTTTGTTTTTAAAATTGATTTCATTTAATGTTTCAATGCGAAGGGCAGTGATTCATTATATATATATCTGAAGATGAAGATTATCCTTCAGTTATTCCCAATAACATTTGGATGAATTATGTTGTTCCAATAGGAGCAAAATTCATATTCAGTGTCTATTTTTCTTTTTAACTCCCAAGATGGGAACTATATAAATCTAGTTCAGTGGGCCAATGGAAAGGCCTCTTTAAAGCTTCGGATACCTATGTTGTGATATATTTTTTGTTTCTTTTCCGCGTATGTGCCCTGTAGAATGTCAGTCGTTGCACAGAAGTAGTAACGAGATTTTAACCTGAATTAAGAACATAATCTTTACAGGTAAAGTTTTTAATACAATTCCAGCCGAAGGAATCTCTTCCGCTCAAAGTGATGTTCGACACTCGGCAGTTTCGCAGATGTAATTAAAAAAAAAACAAACTGATGTACCTCTCCAGATGAAGATTATCACTCACAATAATAATTGAGATGAAGATTATTTATTCACAATAAGAGTTGGATGAATTTTATGGTAGGTTCTAAGATTCTGGAAAAGTGCATATAGTATTTTCTTCAAGCTGACAGCTGTGTTATTTTTCAAGCTGACAGCTGTGACATTTCTTCAAGCTGTGTTAGGTATTAGTTCTAGCTACCGATAGAACTAATACCTAACACAAATGCAAAAAAGGCAAAATTTAGCCATACAACTGATATTCGTTGTTTTCGAATTCTGTACGGGCGAAAAGTGGCAGATGGTTCCCTAAGATAAATAAATGCTTTCATTGGCACTAACGTTAATCTTGCCTTATTCTAAATTCGCACAGGCGTATTTCCCTTCACGAAAATTCATATAATTTTAGATTGTGTTAATTTATATGTGGCCAAAAAAAGCTAAACTTTTTATATTAATACAGATTTAAACATTTATAGTTACTTAATATTTTTCTTTGATTTATTACACTTTAAACATAATATTATTTTTCAATTCCTATCGCAAAAGTATTCCCTATAATTAGTCCTCTGTTTACGTTATTATTTACATTTGGTTCAGATATGATCGTATATTTCTCTAAGATAGCAAAGATTTATTTGAGCAATTTCGTATGAATTTAAGAAACTTAAAGCTAAAAATTCCTTTTATTCCTACTGCAAAAGTATTACCTATAATTAGTCCTCTGTTTACGTTATTATTTACATTTGGTTCAGATATGATCGTATATTTCTCTAAGATAGCAAAGATTTATTTGAGCAATTTCGTATGAATTTAAGAAACGTAAAGCTAAAAATTCCTTTTTTAAAAAAATACAGAAAGAGCATCAGTAATATACATTAATAACAACCAGCTAAATTCCGAAAACATTCCATTTTATAAACTTAAAATAATAAAAAAAAATTAGTACTGGTTTTCACGCACTGATAATATTATTAGAGGCATGACAGAAAATTTTACCTTTTTTTTTTTAAGACTGAAAACTATGATGAAATATAGAATTACCTCATAAAATCGAGAATGAAATATTTTCAAAATTAAAACATTCTTTGCAGAAATGTTTATCTGATAAAAATTATCATTTAAAAGAAATACTGTTTTGAAATCTTTTCGCTTCTGTTGGTAAACCGTAAAATTTTTTAAAAGGGGTTTGATCAAAATTCGTAACCTCATTTAATTTTAAAATATTTCTGTAAGAATTTTGAGAATTTCTCTAAAAGAAGTTGAATCTCATAAGAATTCTTTTTCAACAGAAATTCTATATTCCATTTTTTATAATACTTTACGCTTCATATATTAATTCCATCATATTTTATTTAGGTATAAATGTTTTTATTTATCACTCAATATTTAATGTTTCATCCTTTACAATATTATCTGAATTTCTTTGGCCCTTTCGAGCAAACATTTTAAGTTTAAACACATCTTTGATCAAATTATTAAATAGTACTTAACTCAACAAACCAAGTTTTATATATTTCAATTAAAAATTGAAACTGTAAATGAAGAAATTAATGTTTTTCAGGGCATTTCGTTCAGGTAGAATTACAGAATTTATGTTTGAAATACATATTTTGTCCTTCAGTTCAGTTATGAAAACATTAAAATGCTTCCACGTTTACACAGCTTAGGATTTTACATTGGAATCTAGCAAAATCCTGTGTAAAAAATCAAAATACAATGTAATATACAAACAAATATATTCTTATTATCTATGAAATTACGAACTCTCAGAAACATTAATAAAAGCATGTGTAATCAAGGACTGATAGAGATTATAATATTTATAATTATTTCCCATTTAGCCTGCAGATACTTTTGTGCTTGTCATACCAGATTGATTTTAATCTGGGTATTTGATTTGTATATATTGGTGGATTGATTTTAATCTGGTGAAACAGTGGTGGCAACTACATAGCTCGAAATAAAATCCCAAGTAAGGTAAGGGCACTCGACTCGTTTTGATCCCTCGGAATTCAAGTACTGAAATCAGTCGGTTTCACTGTTCTTTGACAAGGGTATTAATAGGGAAGCTACCCTCAGATGTCAACTGGTTGTACTGCTGCATACTGGGACAGTTTTAGGCAGGAGGCTTATTGTGATCGTTGGTATCCAAGCTCTCTGATGGGCGATAGTACGCTATCATTCTCCAACCCATAATTTTTGGTAATCTTTCAATTTTAACATCATTTCAACAGCATAAATTACCAGGAAGTAATAATGACATCTCGTTTTCATAGTGAAATATTGCATTTGAGAAGGCCGCTGATGATTGGGTAAAGTATGGGTGATAATATGCTAAAGTTTTGCAAGTCAGCATCACAATGGATAGTTTTAATCGCAACATTATGGTTTTCTAATTACGAAACGTGAAAATCAATTGTATTCTCGCCGAAACTCCAATTACGCATTTTTGTTTTGCTATCCGGACATGTTAACCAGTTACACTACTAGAGTAAATACGGAGGGGTAGGGAAATGTGATAATTACGTACAAACAAAAACTACTTCACATTTTTCTCCTGAAGAAAGTGGTAACTGATATTTTTCTAGCTTAAAAAGACCAGAGTCTGAAATCGCGAATATCTATTTGTAAGTAATTATCAGTTATGATTTTCACGCTGAAGTATTTTTTTCTGGAAAAGGAGTAAATTATTTCCAGTAAGGCTTACTTTCATTAATTATTTTCTGTATCTTTGATGTACAAGAGGAGAATGTAAATTTTTACGAATTAACGCTGATTGTTTCTGATGGGCATTGAGCTTCAGTGAATGACTGCTTACAATACGATTCTGTATCGAGCAAAATCGAAGGGAACTAGAGCTAGAACTAGAAATCTTTAGAACTAAGATGAATAACCTCACTAAAACCTGGAGGATGCGCATTGGAAGCTTATCAGGAATCATTTAGATACACTCATATTTAAATGGGAAATTTAGGCCCCGACACAATACAAAGCCACAGCCTGAAACTAAGTCTAATTTAAGAAATGAAACTAAATGTGATATCAGCAATAAGTGTGGTTATCAATAGCAAAGCCCAACTACTAGTGACAGGAACAATTATATGTATTCATATCGCAATAGTCAAATCAAATTATAGAAGTAACTGACCAAGGCTCATAGTGATCTACATCGCTACCCCGAATCATACTTCCTGATCCTGTAGAACTAGAAATACGGAGCATTTTGGTAAGTCACGCCAAGTCGTTCCTCTCTTTTGTTGTGACTGTGTAAATCTGTATGCTCAGACAATTGCAATGAATCCTTTCTAAGACTAAAAACAAAACGCTTCCTTTTTATTTCAGATGAACAGATAAAATGTGCAGATATTTATACGGAATCGCCAGTTATTGCAAAGAATCGTATTCTGTCTTCTGCTCTCAGCTATTATGTTGTGACCATGAATTTACCATCCAGCTAAGCAAATATTGGAACACATAACAAATTTCGTTCGATTATACAACTATGTTACAGGTTCAAAATGCTCTACAATGATTTGGCAAGGCGAATATTCATATGGCATTTTGTTTTGAATACCTTTATATACATTTTATTATACAATTTATACAATTCTGAGAAATCTTTCTTCTTGGACTTGATCTCTTTGAAATATCTGAAAAAATAGCAATCATGTATTAAAAATCTTGGCTTTGTAACAACTTTTAACTGCTCGTTGTTGAAACCTTCTGAAACGACGTTCAATATCCTGTAGCAACGCACTGGGCTGAATGTAATAACATGAATACCCATTGTGTGAATCTTAAATATAATGTCAATTTGATAACGTTAGAAATCCTTAACTCAATGCTTCTTGGATATCATTGTATTCCTAACAGAGTACTATCCTCTAAGTAAATGGCACATCTCTCCATCTCTCTAAATGTGGTAACTAAGATCTACGGATAACACCTTCTTGCTTATAATTTGTTATCGACATTGGATATCTGCTTCATGAAAGCATCAAAATAATCCATGTGTACCATTGGAAACAAATTTGTCGGGTTGAAATTTAATATTGGAGAGGCTTCCAATAAAATGGTTAAGAAGATTTGTCTTGTGTTCATTTATATCTTAAATTCTACAAGTCTACTTATTTAAATTTTCCTTTCAGATTAGATAGAATATATCTTTCTACCTAGTTCAGAATATCCCTTATTAAACAACTTTCACCAAAGATAATAAATGTGCTGAATTATTAAGGGTAGAAAATATGTTGCTATACCACGATGTTTTAAATTTGACTGGCTTGAAGAATTTGGGTTTATCTTTGTAATACTTGACAGGACTGGGGAAACGTTGACTTTGGAAAACGTCAAGAGGTGTCAAATCGATTGACCTAAGAGATGCACTTTTTGGGGGCAATATGTGCTAAAATGGGTTTCTCAAATATTGACACGAAAAGATACATTTGAAGCTCTAAACACCAGAAGACGTCACTACGTGGAAGATCAATATTTACATAACTCTTATTTCTCGAAATGCATTTTTAGAATGTTTTAAAGATTCTGGTGATTTTGAAAATGTTATGAATAATAAAAGCTTTTCTTGATTCATTAACAGCATGTGGGCATAAGGCATAAGATGGAAACGAAAGCCCTGTTTTCCGCAAATAACATCCCATAGACCATCGGCTGATACTGTATACCTACATTATACACATAAATATATAAGCATGAGGTGAGACTTTCATCTACGTCAACTATCAAGTATTTGATTAAAATGACTTGAGATGTTATATACCTTTAACCAAATGAAACTATTAAAATGTCGCATGTGGTTCTTCGGTGTCATAGTGCTTATATATGTAGAAACATTTAAACTTTAAATGCTCTCAAATCCATGGCTAAGGTTAGAGGAAAAAACTCAGTTGCAATGATAAAATATTTGCATTTTTTAATGAATACAAAATAATTAAATAAATTTCCTTTTTTTCCCTCACACTTCAAAAGCCTGTCCAGGTAGGAATGCTTTCGTGGAGGATCTTCAAAGGGAAACTGCCTAGCGTCTAGTTTTAATTTTTTTAATTTGTAATACCATTAATTTGCTGTATTTATTTTATTTTTCTTTTGACTAGTTTTGATTTTACTTAATGGATATAAACATATATATATATATATATATAGAGAGAGAGAGAGAGAGAGATAATCTTCGAGTAAAAGTGGTATAATTCATATAATTACTAGCCGAAGAAAGCTATTAGTCTCAAAACACGATTTTTCATTAATTCACTTTAAATGCCCATTCCACTGTAAATGCATTGTTTTTTTTTGCGTTCGAGTCTAATTCCATTCGGTAAAATGTCGGCCATTCGACAAACTTTCTCTGTCTGTTATTAATTAACAAACTAAGCTGTTAAAAAATAGATACATTTCTTTAAAAACATTATTTTTTACTTATTAATCCTATTGATTTTCAAATATACAGAAGATATCTGACGTTCTAATACTTGTTTAAATGTATATTCATCTAGTATTCTATAAAATGCTTCGCTATTCCATCTGAGTCATCTCCACTAATAAACCATATTAAACTTTAAAAGAACAATTTTTTCTAGACTGTTAAAATCCGAATCCTTTCAAATATTTTTTTCTTTTTTCTCTAATTTTTCCCTTTATTTTGAGAGGTAATTCTGCTGCACAGGTTTCCTTCTTTAATATTTTTAAGTGTTATGTTCTGGGATCTAGTCATCTTAACTATCACGCAGTGAAACTAGATCTACATAAGTGTTAATCTTTGTGACTTCGTAAAAGACGTGAAGATGAACATAACAGGGGAATAGTGTAAAAGACCCTTATGTAAAAGACACAACAGGGAAAAGGCGTAAAACAGCTAAAGCAATATTTGTCATAATATTTTACAAACGGCACGGAATTACATGCTTACAGTTAGCGACCATTTGCGGTAAGAAACCTAAAATATAACGTATAACATTAAATTTAAAAGTAAGAGTACTGCAAGAATACGCAGATCAGTTTAATCTAACAGGTTGACTCACAACTTACACTGTCATAATAATAATTCGGCAGCAAGAATGCGCAGTCAATATTCAAGGTTAATAGCTGGTCGAAATAACAACGTGCGCTTACAATAGTGAAACTCCGCTCTGACTAAACTTTTAACTACATCAGTTTAAATATATTCGTTCACTCTAAATAATTTACATACTGGCGGGGAAACGCAAGAGGAATAAGAGAAGATAGAAAATTCTAAAAAAACAACTATTCGTAAAAATAAATTAAACCCTACAGAGTAAGAAAAGCTGCAACTAATAACTACATCAGACGACAGGTTTCGTCCTTTTTCATAGAACGCTTATATAAATATCTGCGTTTTATATATTTCTATCAAATCATAGCACGTGAACAATGTCTAAGGACTTAACATTATCGGATTCATTTTAGAAATTGATATTTTGGGTCTGCAATCAGTAATTCAGGTGATATGTAGTCCGAAATATATCGTATTAAAAGATTCTCTACATTTAAAATATTTGTATCATAAGCTTCTCTACCACATCTCTTCTCTTCTGAAAAGGACCCGAAAGGAAGTTTTGAGCCCACGATTGCCGTCTGAAAAGAAAAATTATCGCTATAATCTGTCAAAGTTCGAATTGTTAAACTAATATTTAATACGATTTCTTAGGAGTATTGAGGTTTTACTTAGTGGTAGAGCACAAAAAGGTTTTAGTTCTTCAAAAATAGGTTTTGAGATATGTAATTCCTTTTAAAAATCACCCAATATTTCATGATAGAATGAATGACTCTCATTATATAGAGAACAAAAATTAAAAGAAAATGGTATAGACATCAGCAACGCTCCATAGAGAATAACTGATTAAAATTTATATCATGATCAGTGACCTTCAGAAAAAAACATGAACATATGTAATGTGGCATAAACATAAGTACATAATTAAAATATATTTAAATTACATAAATAATTAAAACTTAAGTAATACATAGGCCTCATAAAGATTATTCGTTTTTCATTCTACTGTTGTTTAGCTAAAATTAATTTTCTTCAAGCTTTGTTTTTGCATATGATTAACGTAAAAGTGACATTTTTATTTCAATTATTTTTTTAAATTACTACTATTTAAAGATATCATCTGCATTTGGTATTAATTTAAATAAATATTCATAACAACAGGCTTAACTCAAATTTAACTGAAGATTTATTTTCTATTAAAAGGTTTGGTGGAAATTATTTTAAGTGCTTTTTCTGTTTAGAGAATTTCCCTACTAACTAAGCATTATTAGCTTAAAACTTTGGTTTCAAAACTTCTATTCTTTTATCGAGAACTATTTAATTTATATTCAGGAAACTGGGGATGAATTCTTCTTTAAAATAATAGCGTGAGAAAAAGGATCGATTAAAAAATCCCTCTCCTAACTGGATTTTCCTTTCAGAATTAACGCTGATAGTTAAATGAACTTTCTTCATAAGTTAAGTAAACATAATTATACAGTTGCGACGGAAGTTACCTCACAGTTATTTACATCAACTAATTTTAAAAGTGTATCGTGCTTTTTTTTCCTACTACAAAATCTACAGAAGAATTATATGTTTATCACTTTAGTAAATCTACGCAAGAATAAGGCCTATGAATATGAGATAAGGTAACTAATAATTCACCAAAAAAAACGTATTTCAATATAGATTAATTTGAGTTCAGCCTAGAAAATTATCAATAATTGTAATATTTTAACTAAAAATGTAATGTCATTTTATTGTTTAAATGCAACTGAAATTTCTAGTCAATAACAGATACTCTAATTTTTTAATTTATTACAATTACATTTCAATATTTTGGAAATAGTTTTATTGTGCAAGGAATAGTTACGGAAACGTGACGTCAATATAACATCTATACGTTTTTCAATTTTTAATGTAATGAGAAAATGAATAACAAGATATTAATAAAATATGAGAAAATGAATAACAAGATATTAATAAAATAAACGACAAACTACGACTTTGAAACTGAGGAAGATAATAATTGCACAGATTATATTAAAATCACAAAATTATGTACCTGTTTAAAGTTAGTGCGGTATGCTTTTTTATGTAAAACGGTCAGAAGTTTCATATTATACGTTCGTTTAATTTTTGTATGAAATTACGTTTCTGTACGGAGTAAATACATTACTATGCATAATCTTAAAAAATGCATAACTTCACCATTTTAATATGATTTGTACAATTATTCTGAGCATCAATTTCAAATTTCGGTTGTCCTCATTATCTCTCATTTTATCACTACAGTGTTATGCATTTTACCATTACAGTAAAAATGTAAGAACTTAAGAACATTCATTAATGTCATGGTAATCGTAACCGTTTCTTCCATAGAATTATTTATATTGAAATATATTGTGATAAATTTATAATTCTAGAACAGTTATCATTATCGTCGCCATCCTAGGTTGGTAAGTAAACTCCTTTTACATCCGATTCGTTTATTAAGTAAGCATTCCCGTGCCACGCAATGAAATGAATGTCTCTTTGTAAACGATTTGATTTTGATCCTTGCAAACTCCAAGGCAGGTGGCCAGACTGTCAAAGTAATCGACCCTTAGTTCGTATATTTTTGCTCTAGTTGAATTAAATAACAGACTAGTAAAAAAATTTAAAAAAAAAATCGTCTGAAGAGTAATAGACTAAAAAGTAATCGTCTTACTCGGTGACATTTCATAAAGAACCTGCTAGGTAACAGAACCTTAAAATGTTAAGCACAAAAAATGTACAGACTCTCAGATATTTGGTCCATCAAACAAAAAACAATTAATTCCATAATCATGGGTTTTAGAATTACGGATATTCTACTTGTTAGTTGTCCATTCTTAACCACTTGCGCAATCAGCATATGCGTGAAATGCGACAGGCCTTCACAGTTTGCTCATCTTAAAGCGTGATTGAGAAAAGGCATCAGGTGGTGACGAGTTATCATCGATCATACTTTATCTTCGGATGATAGTGTAGAAACTATTACGTTTTTGGAAGGCAGAGAATGGGAAATATCAACTTTAATTGCCGGGTCTACCTGCT